AATATGACCGTCACAGCTGGACAGAGAGCGGCGGTGAAGTCACGGAGCATCTGTCAACCTGTCGGGAAGCCGTGTAGCCTTCCATGATTGGTTGAAGCGAGCTTTATTCAAGTTAACGGCCAAATTTAGCCCAGGAAATTAGTGTTAACTTTTTATCAATGAGTTGCTCTTTCCAAATCCACTCTCTCTGTTAATGGCACTAAAACATGGCTAATAAAACACATTGCACCTACCCCACAGGATGTTAGCATAGTAATAATACAGTCACTTCGTCTGTTGCTGCTAGTTTTACATGTTGTTCAGGCTCTCACAGGTCATGAGTTTTGCTTTACACGGATACAGACGTGAGAAAAGACCTGAGACGTTGTGCATGATTACCTGTTGTTCGTGTGGAAGTGGCACTGATGCCGTTTGCTGTCTCCGCAGTAACAAAGAGTGTCCTACCTGTCGTAAGAAGCTGGTGTCCAAGAGATCGCTGCGTCCAGACCCCAATTTTGATGCTCTGATTAGTAAGTGATGTCAGGAAAGTTGTGCTTTACATGTTGATGGTTTCTTTTTGTGTCATTTTCATGTTACTGTGGAAGAAGAAACATGGCAGCATTTGAATAATGAAAGCAGCAACAAAGATCGATCCATAAATAAGTGAATAGATTCATCAATACACCTTTGTTTCCTGTGACACGACGCCAGCACGTGTTCAGTTACACAGCGATGTTGCTCCAGAGGTTTAAACAGGGCCGAGTACTTATTTAAAAGTGCAACAGATGCAGGAGAACGAGACTTTCTGCTGCTTTGTTTCCTTTGTCTCCCTGAGAGTGACGCTCGTACTGCAGAAAAGATGGATCATTAACAGTTTTATGATCCTGATGAATCACAATCTTTTCCATATCTTTACTGGAGAGACTGGTTCTCTTTGTAGTCTTTGAGCTCATGTCTCACAGAAAAGCCCAACACAACCTTTCCATTTAACAAAAGGTGTCCATATAGATGCCCGAGTGTTCATACGAGCTGCTGTGTCGTACACCATCAATCACCACTGAGTCATGTGCACATCCTGAGGTCAAAGATCAGATGATGATTACAGCACAGTATGAAATCACTACAATCAACAATTCTCCAAAATCACTGTTTGCTTCATACTCAAGTTTTCTGTAGAGAAACATAAAAATGTTTTTAAACACAGCCTTCATTAATTGATTGTAATTGGATCATTATGTAAGAACAAACTGTTCGTGTACTTTCAGACCTGTAAGACACACAGTCTGAAGACGTGTGTGTATATTATACATGGTTATTTCATAGTTATTTCATAATTATTTCATAGTTATTTCATAGTTATTTCCTGTTTGTTTACGTGTGGACATGGTGCCTGAAGTCTTTCGTGGCATTTTTCTACTTGCAGGTAAGATTTACCCGAGCCGCGACGAGTACGAAGCCCACCAGGAAAGAGTTTTGGCCCGCATCAGCAAACACAACAACCAGCAAGCCTTATCCCACAGCATAGAAGAAGGGCTGAAGATACAGGCTATGACCAGGTAAGGACATGTACACATGCTCCACATACTCACGTTAAACTCAGTCATCTCACTGAATGAGTTCCCTCTGTCAGACTACAGCGTGGTAAGAGACACACCGTGGAGAACGGCAGCGGAGCTGAGGATAATGGAGACTCCTCCCACTGTAGCAACGCCTCCGTCCACAGCAACCAGGTATGATGTGGTGTACATGGATGCTTTCTGTGTACGCTGAAGCCTCTTTTCCACTTGTACCTGTTTGGTTCAACTGGACTCGGCTTTAGGATTTTCCATTAGGTGTTATCACCTGGTACAAGCTACACGCAACTTTCAGGCCGCGTTGCTGTAACAACCTCACCCACATTGACTCAGTTGTAATGGAAAACAAGCTAAGCCGAGTGTAGTTGATTAGGTTGATTTGGAGTGGCTGTTACTAAGGAGGTAGAGCAGGTCACCTACTGATCGGAAGGTGGTTCGATCCCTGCCTCCTCCAGTCTGTATGTCACGTATCCCTGGGCAAGATACGAACCCCAAGTTGCTCTGCGATCAATCGCAGCGTGAATGTGTGTGAATGTAGTTAGACAGCATACAGAGAAAGTGCTTGTGAGAATGGGTGTGACTGGGTGAATGTGGCGTGTTGTGTAGAGCGCTTTGAGGACTCCGGGAGAGTAGAAAAGCGCTCTATGAGAATCAGTCCATTTACCAATAGATACTACTGGAACAGAGGCATTGGCGTCTTTGTCTTCCTTCTCTTTATTTTTCATGTAGAGCATGACCAGGGCTGGGTATCATCACTGACTTCTATCATCACAAAGTCCCCATTGATTCAGTGTTTACTCATAAATATTATAATTCTGATCATTTACATCTCCTCATATTTATATCTGTTTTTTTGTAAGAAGCTTTTCTGCAGCTATGGGGCATATATGGTTTCACTCTTGGCTGGAAGCAGCTTAATCAATGGAAAAACACAAACTTTGTCCAAAAACCTCTCATGTTTAACTGTTTCCACTTTTTCTTTGGTCATTTTAGCCTTTTTG